TACAAGTGTTGCTGTGACCCCCTAGGAAAAGGTTATGCCCCGCCCTGTAGTATATCAATCTTACATAACATTAACTACAGATGGTAGAGTTTGAATCTCAGATTTATCTAATCCAAAACAGATATTCTGCTAGTGAACTGAGTAGAACTTCTCCCTGTCCTTGGATGTACTTGACTGATATAGAGTATTCTATGAAATTCATCCAAGTTCAAAGTGAAACAGGAAAGGGCTAGGAGGAAGAGCTGATTGAAAATAATAATATCTGAAAGCAAGCTAGGGAACAGAGGAGGTCAGGAGGCCAGGCGGCAGATGACATCAGGAGGAAGTAAAAAGCAGAAAATAAGGCCAGGATGATAAAGAGCAACATCTTATATGAAGACTTTTGTAGAAAATAGAAGTGAGCAACTAAGAGAGGGACAATAGTTTGTGGGAAAAGATAGATGAAATGTATTTATCTTTTATTTATTTGACTTAGTTGCTGAATGGTATTTACTAGCTTACCAAATCCCTCATGCTGGTGTACATCACATAGACTTGAGATGTAACAAAGATACTTTACAACTGTAAAACTATAGACCCAGTATGATAGTGTTGTCTTTAGCTACTATCAGGAATGTATGCTGAAATAAATTGTATGATTGGACTTGAGAGTGCCTCAAGAGCTGGCAAGTGGTGCTGCCCTGATAGTTTTAATGCAAGACAATTAAAGGCAGCAATTGGTGGATTCCTCTGGCTGCATTTCCTTTCCTTCTTAGCCTCACCTGCCATTAGGAAAAACAACTGCCCATTGCTGTTCTTAATGCAAGGTGGATTGAATTTGAGTAACAGAGAGCAAGTGCCTGGGATAGAGGCTTTAACTGTTTTTCAAATTGCCAAATGACTGGCTGTCAGTACAGAGAATTTCTGGATGGTTAACCTGCCCTCAGGCTACAGTATTTCTTGGGTTTTTTACTGACTACATTTTGATGATGAAATTTGTGGGATTTGTTTAATGTTAAAAAGTGAGATATAAATGTAAAACAAAGGAATAAAATGGGCTCATTAGATCAAATTTATAATACATAAGTTGTTATTTCGGTTAACTGAATGGATGTTCCCCCAATTAGAATGGAAGGTTTTAAAGACTTTTTTTTTATAGAAAATGGGATGAGATTGTTTGTTTGTTTGTTTAGTTATCAGTCAAAGTTATTGGCCACTCACCTTATCACAGTTTAACTCTGGGGGACTTACAATATTAAAAATAGAACTATATAAATAGAATGCTACAAAACAGTAAAAATACAAAATATAAAATATGATATCTAAAAGATGGGGAGAAGGGAATTGATGTGAAATGAAGAGGTTTGTTTATTTGTATTTTAAGAGGTGGTAATAAGTTGTTACAGATGTTTATACTTTCTGGGAGAATAATGGGGAGATTTCTTTCCTTTTAATTTTTTTTCTTTCATTTTTGCACTTCTTTCTTTTTTGTATTATCCATACATTGTAATCTTTAATCAAATTGTTATAAAAAATAAAAATAGTTAGAAAGGCATTGTTGCACTATGATTAGTGAGATGTGGAAATACATTTTCCACAAAAGAGTAGCTGGCACAAGTCTTTGCATGATTTCTGGAACAAGCTGATATTCTTGCGTTTGTGCAACCTGTTACTTGCCTTTTTCAATTTGTAACATATTGACATTGCTGTCCTAATATGGATTTTGTATCTCTTTATTGCAGGTTCCAAAGATGGAGACAGGCTCCCTGGTGCGGGCTGTCTTTGATTTCTGCCCCAGCGTATCTGAGGAGCTGCCACTGTTTGTGGGAGACATCATTGAAGTGCTGGCAATCATAGATGAGTTCTGGCTGTTTGGGAAGAAGGAAGGAGTCACAGGTATGTCTAAAAGGTCTTTGGGTCAGTTCATGAAGTTGGTTGCGTCAGAACCCAAAGATGCTTTTCAAAAGCAGCTGGGCTTCCTTTCTTTCTTCTTGACAATGTTTTGCTTCTCGTCCAAGAAACTTACTCAGTTCTGACTGAATGATGGGGTATGGAAGGATTTGTGTTCTTTGCAGTCAAGGGCTATAAATCCTTCCATTTCCCATCATTCAGTCAGACCCGAAGAAGTTCTTGGATGAGAATGAAACATTTTCAACAACAACAACAACAACAACCAAAGTCCAGTTGCCTTTTGACCTGGATGACTGAGAATCTCCAGAAACGGTTGGGGTAGAAGTCCAAGAGGAGCTGAACAAGAAAAGCTACGTAAAGAGAAGAAAAATTCACCCTAAATAAAGATTTTTAAACTCTTAAACCTTTCTCTACTACTATTTAGCAGTTGAAAGATCAAAAACTCTATGATGAAAAGTTAGAAAAAGATGTGATTGGTTGCATAAAAGCACCACCCCAATGCCCTTTCTGCCTGGCGGTTAGTGGTAATTTTTCCTATGGTTTTGGAACTGGAACTGAACTTCCAGTCAAGGAAAAGATCATTTTCTGCCTTTAAAAGTGTCACATGGTTAGACCTCTGCAACCAGCAATGCAACATAGTCCCATTCTGGTATGCCTGAAAGGTATGATGCAAAATTTATGCTGAGTATTTTTGGTTCCAGGACAAGAGGAAAGTTCAGCAAATGACTATATGGATGAGACCATGGTCTCTGTGGAGCTGTTCAGGAGACATTTTTATCTCCTTTCTCTCCCTTTTTTGAAGGGACTTTTTTTGGTTTCTTTAACTAATACTTTTTAGTATTTCTGTAAATGTTTGGACTCCCACACACTTCCTGATACCTCTTTGTTGTACTGTTTGGTCTTGCAATTAGAGAAATGAGATAGCTATTAATATATCTGAAGCTTGCTTCTCTTTTTCTTTTTATAATTCTTTGTTTTCTTAACCACTCAAATGGAATATAATTCTCAATATACTCAGTATAAGGTAATAGAATAGAATAACAGGGTTGGAAGGGACCTTGGAGGTCTTCTAGTCCAATCCACTGCTTAGTCAGGAAATCCTACACCCCTTCAGACAAATAGTTACCCAATATCTT